GTTGCCCAACGGGCAGAAGAAGTCCGCCAGCTCACCAGACATCGTATTCAAGCCCAACAACGTGTCGACACTGGCCGCCACAACTTTCGTCGTCGGGACGTCCACTTCCAGCCCGGAGACAGGGTGTGGGTGTGGACTCCGATCCGCCGCCGTGGTCTCAGTGAGAAACTCCTGAAGCGCTACTTTGGGCCCTACAAAGTACTTCGTCGACTCGGGGATCTGAACTACGAGGTGATGCTCGACGGAACACGGCCTTCATCACGCCGCGCTCCACGACCGGAAGTCGTCCACGGCGTGCGCCTCAAGCCGTACTACGCACGATAAGACTGCGAACTGTGATTTTGTGCACCGCTTGATAGGATTGTGATTCGTGAGCCTCCGTATGTTCCCATTCTTTTGTTTGTTTCGCTCTGTTTTGTTGCCTTTTACGTGGCATCGAGACGATGCCTTTTTAAAGGGGGGATTAATGCCACGCTCGTCGGCGAGCGACCGCGTGCGTGGCCGAGTGGTTACCGTGCTTGACTGTCGCGCGGAATGTGTGGTTCGATTCCAGTCAGTGGAATGCTCTTTTCTTTGTTCTTCAACATTGCGTTCTCGTGTGTTCGAGAACATTCTCGTATGATCGAGTTCCGACTGTTCCAGTCGCCGAACAATCTAGGCCGATTGTTCCAGAACCCAACGCGCGTGCATAAGGGACTCCGCGTGCTGATCTGCAGTCAGTTTCGTCCCAGCGTTCGACTCTGTCGCTCCGACGCCCCCGACGCTCTTTTATTATCTTTTGTACCCGTTTATTTTTTGGCACAGGTTCGCCACATTAAACGTTTATTTCTTTCTGTTTATTTATGGTTCTTTTGGTCACCACCCGTGACAATATCTTGCAAGCTTTACATTGCAGTGAAAACGTTATAGATTGCAGTGCATTTTTGTAACACCGGAACATTTCCCCAGATGATTGTAGTTTACACAGGTCGAACACTTCAAGGATACACTATCTGGTGCTACAGCTTTCAGACATAAAAGACATTCTTCTTTTTCGTCGATCCTAAGAAAACGTTAGAATGAATGCGGACAAGCAAAACGCAACCTGCAAAATCGTGCACAAACCTGGAGTAAAAACAAAGCTCGCCTAAAAATAAAGGAAACTTATAATCCATGGAAGTGCGTTCTGCTAGTCTGCGAAGAGTCGTTCGCTAACTGCTGTTATAGTAACCCGAAGATTCCGGCGACAACGCCCCCGATGTGCTCTGTGCGATCAGGCACGCGCAATCTTTCTTCGATGACGGGGCAGCGATGAGAGGCTTGTCGATCAGCAGCTATCTTTATGATGTCGGCGCTGAATACCGGACCAGACCGTCTTCTTCGTAGCAAAAGCAGACGAAAGCCTAAAGAGTGAGGGAACTTAGTATCCGTGGGCGTGCATTAAGCTGGTGTGAGAGTCGTTCTGCGACTGCTATTTAAGTGGATTGAAGATTCCGGCGAGAACGCCCCCAATGTGCAAGGTGCGATCAGGCGCTCGCCATCTTCCTTGGATGACGGGGCAGCGATACGACGCTTGTCATTCAGCAGCTATCTTTTTGATATCGCCGCTGAATGCCGAACCAGACCGTCTTCATTGTAGCGAAGGCAGGCGAAAGCTTGAAAAGTAAGAGAATTTTGAATCCCCGGACAGGCATTCCGCTAGTTTGCCATCATTTTTTTTTTCAACAAAGCGCTTACCAAAACTGGCAGGTACCAACACGTTAAGGTTGACCTCTGGAAAATGGTGGCGTTATTGGGAACGTTGGAATCTAGTAATTCCTAGGGCATTTTTTTGCCAATGTGAATTCCGCAGAATACCATGATTTGTAATTTATTTTGGAAACGAGGTTAGCCGAATGATTTCATATAACTCAGCTAAAATGACTAGAAACAAAAATGTATTGTGATAAACTACTTGACTTAAACTGGGTTGGTGCATCGTCTTTTTATATTCCCGTCTGGCGTCTAGCCTAGAAAGTCAAACCTGCATGCCTTAGCGTGGTTGATGGTCTCTTGTTGAAAGGAACAAGGCTCGTAATCCCACAGTCTCTAAGAACAGAAGTGCTGCGCAAACTGCACGATGGGCACCAGGGCATCGGCCGTTGTCGCAGTGTTGCTAAAGGTTCTGTCTGGTGGCCAGGATTGAGCACCGAACTGGCACTGTTCGTGAATCGGTGCACTGTTTGCGCACAACATGCTCCGCAACAAGCCGAGCCGATGATGGCAACCGCAACACCATCGTTTCCTTGGGAGAGAGTGGGAGTTGATCTGTGTGTAATCAACGGCCAGGCGTACCTTGTCGCGGTTGATTATCTTTCACGTTACCCTGAGGTTGCTATTCTGCCTTCCACAAGGTCGGGAACAGTCATTGAAAGACTGAAAAATATTTTTGCTAGACATGGAATCCCTGAGTGCGTTGTGAGTTCGCGTGTAACGAGTTTGAACAGTTCGCTGTGTCGTACGGGTTCCGCCATGTCACCGTAAGTCCGAGACACCCGCAGGGGAACGGAGAAGTAGAGCGAATGGTCCAGACGGTTAAGCATCTCGTTTTAAAGTCCAAAGACCCTTACCTGGCGCTGTTGGCTTACAGGGCAACGCCCGGCATTCTTGGGGTCAGCCCCGCTGATATACTTATGGGTAGGCGACTGAGGACCAGGGTCCCAATGCTGCCACGTCACCGAAATCCGGGAGAAAGCCGCCCGAAAGAAGTAGTGGCAAGCGACCAGAAGGTTAGGAGGCAGCAGTGCCGCTACTACAACAGACGCCATCGGGCCAGACGGCTTCCCGAGCTGGAAGCAGGTGACCCGGTCTGGGTGACTGACATGCAGTCCAAGGCCACAGTCCTTGCACCGGCGCCGAAACCGCGGTCATATGTGGTGCGGACAGACGACGGCGTTGATCTCCGCCGAAACAGGAGAATGCTTAACCGTCTCCCAAAAGAAGGTGAAAACGCGGAGGCATACGAGTTTCCGGACAATAAACAGCAGTCGAGTACTGCACAGTTGGGTCATAGCACGGACGACTCTGCGACTACGACTCTGCGGCTACAGCAGCCAAGTACTGCACAATTTGCACATAGCACGGACGACTCTGCGGCTACAGATTCGGCGCCTCCATCTTGCGCGGTAGCCAATGGTGACCCTACTCGCACTGTAACGCGGTTTGGAAGAGTAGTTAAGAAACCCATAAAGCTGGGTATTGATGACTATGTTTTGTATTGAAGTTCGGGGGCAGCGTATATTCTTTGTCTTGTATGTGCGACGTTTTTTTTTGTTCTCGAAAAAAGAGAGATGTGTTGTTGTCTGTTATTGCTTGCCTATGTTGTTATCGCTGGCCCGTCCGCCCAGTGTCATGATCACGTGATGTTCCCGGCAGTGTATATTATCGGCCCGATCAATAAACGGAGGCTTTTTGGTTCCTTCGTGACCTAGAGCGCAGTTCGTCGTCTGACTTCTTTCCGGCACGCATACGCCTAGTATGCGGTATCGCTACAGTATGTAGACGGCTTTCGCGCTAGGGGCAGTTTCCTCAGTAGTGCTCAGGACACGGCGGGGGCGACATGAGTCTCGTGAAATATCTTTCTAAATTTACACAATAACTAAGAGAAGCTAATATTTTATCTTGTATTAATATGGTTTCAGATAAAAACAGAAGTCAACAATAAAAAGCAAACCGCGCGCAGACAAATTTTTATTAATATTTAAGCTGAACTTAATCCTCTTCCTATTCAAGCGCCGACTTGTCTACTCATATTTTTACTACTTTGGAACGAATCACTCAGCCATAATTTAATTTCGTTGATTTATTGGTAAGGTGTGGATTTAGAAGTTATCTACTAACATTCCACGTCAACAAGAAAAAGATCCACAATGTTTCAAAACTTGATTTTACAGCGATTTGCACAAGCAAAAGGGGTTCGAAGGTGTGCCACTGATTTAATCACAAGAAATAGAAAAGTGCCTCTAATATATACCGCTGCTTCTCTCGTCGTAACTATAGAAAAACAATAACGTCTGATTGTATACATAATTAAGCTCTAAACTGGTGTTAGACATCCTATGGTAAACTTACATGAAAAATTCGGGACTGAGTAACACTTGGCACTTCCGACGCGAATAGGTTGTGTAAACATGATCGTCTGTAACAATGTGAATTTTCTCCAAAAGCCTGGTGGACTCTGTGCTTTCTGTCTGAAGGAAGACGTACAAAATTTGCATGTATTAATTTCTCAATCAGCAGGAAGAAAATTACACGCAACATTTCTTATCCGCAGGAAGACTACTGTGCTCGTTACGTTGGGACCTCGAGAACGACTCGGGAAAATAGAGTGTTATAAATGTAGCGCAGTTATTCTTTACCATGAGATTATTTGACCCAGTCGAACTCTTTGATGAAACAGTAGCTAGATATTGTTTCCGCAAATTAAAACAAACAAACAAACAGACAAAAAAACTGGCACGAGTGTTGAGATACACAGCGCCTATTTTCACCGTTAACAATTAACATTCCACAATCTTCAGCGAATGAAGAGTATTTCATTGCAGGATTGATTGAATTCGTACAAGTGAAAGAGTAAGAAAGAAAACACTCTTTATTTTGAAAAGGCCACAACTTGGGTTAATAAAAACATAAATGTGTCGATGACCTTAATTGTGCAGCTCACATTCCACGGCATACATAGTCGAATTAAATAGCGGTGTTTCATGGTACTAATCGAATCAGGAAAATGAACGTAATATTGTTGTGAAGATTTTTCAGGTGTCTACATAAATAGACGAGCGATATCTATCATGGCGATCGTCAACTCTTTTTCCCAATCCCCTATGTCGCTTTCGCCTTTTTTCGTTTCTATTCATCTTTATAATTGCGCTCTTCTGTTCATCCTTACATTTCAGACGTGAAGCTAGAACATAATTCTATCTTTACAACACTCCTACTCCTCTTTATGATCGTTAACGAGAACATGCCATCTTTTTTTTCAGGATGTGCTCTGTCCGGTCTTTCCGTCGGCCTTCAAGTGCTGGTCTGCCAGCACTTCAAGAAATGGCGAATTACGGCCTGTTCTTTCATCTCCGCTCCGCAGTGTCTCAATGTATTCTTCGCACCTCAGTTGGCTAGTTTCTTTTTAGCCCAATACGGTACCCCGGCATTGTTCCTTCTCCTCGGAGCCATGTCACTCAATGCAGTTCCCGCCGTGCTTGCAGGGGGAAGCCCTAGCCTGTTCACTGGCAAATCTAAACATGTAGTTGATCGTAAGTGTCAAGTAGTTCCTGAGGAACAGGGATTGTATTCTAGTGACAACGAGGATTCCGGTGGTCGAAGCGATGCCCAAGCAGAAGAAGAAACGTTACTCACTTGTCGTAGAACAACTACGACACAGAGCACCACGCAGCCCACCATAGCTCCCTCGTCAGAAGAATTAGGTGGAGGCAGACCATTTGGCCGAAATAATTTCAAACGTCTACTCAAGGATTCTCTGAAAGCATTTACATCCCTGATATTTCTAGTGGACGTTCTATCGTTCGTGATTCACGTGTACACCATGACAACCTTCTTCATGGTGCACGTCGACCTGCCCCAAGATAGAGGCATTGATCCGAGCAATGCCACCTACCTTGTTTACTTTTACTCAATATCCGAGATGGTCATGAGAATGCTGGGCGGTTTTATCGTTGACCGCGGTTACATTTCGCTCCCTCTTAGCATGTTGTTGAGTTTTCTTGGAGGCAGCATCGCCTGCGAAGGTATTGCTTGGTCCACCTCTATGGTGTCCCTTGGAATTTCATCACTACTACTGGGCCTTAGTGAAGGAATGGTGATGGGAATGATGGCTCCCGTGATGATAAGAGATTTTAAGGATCAATCCCTCGCCATCATGCTGGGAGGTTTGCGCTTCGTCATAGGCGTCGTCCTGCTGACAAAGCCTCCGCTTGTAGGTAAGTAGGGACACCAAGATTTTGTTTTGGAACACAACCTTATGCTTTTTTTTCTGATTGTGGAATTCTGGTATACCTCGCTGCATGCAAATGTTTCTTTTTTTTTAATGTAACACGACCTTTCATAAAAACTAGCTATAAACCAACATGCCGTACACCAACTGTTCACAAAAGGTGCATGTTGATTAGAAAATACTAGGGGGAATTAAAAACAGATAATTAAACTTTGCATTTTTTTATTTCAGCCCACACCAGATGTAAGAATATCGCGATGACTCATTATAGTAGCCCAACATGGCTTACAGGTCCTTGTATAAATAAATAATGAATATATCCCTATCTACACCAAATGAAGCGAAGTTTACCTATAGGTATTGCTTATAAATAAGAAAATGTTTAATTATGATACAAGAACATTTTTCTCAGCGTCTTAAATTGTACTAGCTCAAGAACTGCAGCTGAGACTACACGTTCATACGTACGTACAAAACACAACTCAGCTCACTACGTCTTTTTTGTTTATACTTCTGTACTTTTCTAAATCTTCCTTTTTCTTTTATTAAAAAGAAAAGGATTAGAAAAGAAGTGGGTACAAATATAATCTATGCAGTATATACTAGCTCCGAATTAGAAAGTCAATTGAAAATATGGAATTATGCTATTAAGAGAAATAGTTATATAGACAACCTTCAAGGCAAACGTGACTGACACGTATACATATATATATATATATATATATATATTTTTTTTTTTTGCGGTTGTTACATTGACAAGACAGGTCATCCTCTCAAAGAGGTATTTTGTGTTTAGAGGGGTTAACATATCTCTATGTTAATCCATGTGAACACAACTGGAAATTGACAGTTGGAGCTGGCAAAGTCAACTGGTCAACTGTCCTTTGTGTAAACATCTTGTGTTTACAAAAACGACAGTTGAAGCTGCTCTTTGAACAAAAAAACCTAGTCTGAGTCCACGGTTTAATTGGCTGTATGGGTGTTCTTAAGCCGGTACAATTTTGAATAGCAGAGAAGTGATCTAAAACCCAATAAAACGCCCTTTTATTGCTCAGCCACACAACTGAACTGAATTAAGGAAAAAACATAAACACAGAAGTAAAAACGGTAACGTTCCGGTTCTGAAAAAAATCCATTGTTTTCATGGCACACTACTTTCAGTGCCAAAACCTGAGAACTTATGCTAATTCAACGTCAATTTCACGACTCACCGACGTGCTCAAAATTGATGTTCATCGCTTTTAAAAATGTAATATCCATGTGGGTTAGGCATTTTTGAAGCTGAGTGAGCATGTTCAAATACTGAAAGAAATTTAAACACTTAATCCTATAAATATCTAGTGTCTTAGTTTTTTTCATTCCTATCCATAATGTCACTTGATTTTCATTATCCGTCTGCTCCCGAAACCCATAAAAAATGTGCATCTCGAATGCTTCTGCTACACCCAAACTGCTAAATATAAATATTCACCTATTGCTTACCATGTGTGCAGGTTACTTCAGAGACCAGATCGGAAGCTACAACGGCCTTGCGCATGTTCTTGCAGCGGCAAATGCATTGGGGGCCCTGGTGTGGTTCGTCAGAGTGCTTTACCTTCGCTATCTTTGTGAACCGAAAAATAACTCAAGTCCGGATGTGTCGTCGCGAACTTCACGTATGAGAGACTTTCCACCTAGATTAGAAGAGATGGGAAACATGAACGTCGTACCACTGTGCAGCCCATACGCAGAGACTTGGCTTGGCTTTCAAAACGTGTACGCTTGAAAAGTCTGTCATTTGTTAAAATATTTCTTACCTGACGGCACGTTATTCTATGACTACGTGAAAAAGCAGGACATTTGGTGAATAAAGGGTTGGAACATACTTTGTGACTTTTTTCATTACTAAAACTTTTCAACGGTTTATTTAACATTGGCACCGCTCTCGGTGTCTTTACGTGGCGTTGTGTGCCTGAAATAGGGGATTGCAATCTCCGCCAGTTGGTTCCCTAACTAACAGAAGTAAATTAACTTGATAATGATGGTTTGATGGGTCACGTTGTGAACGTAGTTTTGGAGAAAGCCAGAGGCCAGATTCTCAAAGCGAACTTACGACGAAAAAAATGCGTACGACAAATTTGAGAGAAAATCCGTATTCTCGAAACGAAATTGTCGTAACTTTTGCGCAGGTTACGACAAAATCCTACGACAGCTCCGAAGCTGTCTTACGCACTTTCTACGATCAAATTAACATGGCCGACAACGTCGCTCAGTTGCTCGGTCGCGACGACCCAACGGACATTTATTTTTCTACCTGCTCTTCTTGCGCGTCCCGACTTCAAGCAGCAAGAAAAAAATGAAGAAGTACTTGAAACCGACCACGACGAACATGAACGCTGGATCCAGACACCCGGAAACGGCAACAAAGGCGACGATCCCACCGACCAAGCGAGCTCGGCAGAATATATAGGCCTAGCAGGCACTCCGACCCGTTCCGGCGCAGCATTGCTCAGACGGTCCTTGGCCAAGAACGTCTGCCCACGACCGGCTGGCTTGCTGAATGGAATATGCCCGCGCGACCCTTGTGGACCCTATAGTTTGATAGCTGAACTAAATTTCAGAGGTCAACCGATTCCCCTTATCATCTCGATCACCTTGTTTTCCGAGGCAGCGGTGACGAACGCTGTCGTCGAAAAGGGACTCCTCGATTCTATCTCCTTGTTTTGTGTGATATAGAGCTCAAATAAACGCCGTATGGATTACCTTCGCAACACGGTATGTACACTTTGTTATTAGTATGCCATTTTTAACTGTCGAGCTGTATCAGTTTGTGGGAGCTACGCGATGCCGGTCCAACCTTTCTTTGCCGAGTGTCACGTCAGTATCGAGTTGCAATCGTAGAAGATCGGTCCCGAAGCGCTTACCGAAACGCAGTCTGAATCCAGCACTTCGATCAAACGCACGCGTCCGCTCCGAGTGTGAACAGGTATTTGCGTGACTCTTGCTGACACTCTCGTAGTTCAAACGTGTCTTTTTTAACGTCGGCTCACTCCTGCATTTCCGAGCCCGCGAGAAACGCCGCGGCGGTTTGTTTCCTTCTACGTCGCTTTGCAAACGACTGGCACGGGGCTTTTACCAACGATGACAGTTGTGTTGACTTCGTAGCGATCGAGTTTGTAGCAGTCAACGAAGCGTTTAAATCCTGTTAGCGTCGATATACCACTCCACGGACACGAACCCCAGACAAGCGGTGGTGGAAAGGTCGCCCGTGTTTATGAGAATCAGCTTGAACACTACACATTTACATACAGACAGGACAGGACATACACGGAGCTGTCTATCAACGAGTGGTTAGCCTGTGTTTGTTATTAAAAATCCACGTGCTCCGAACTATGCCTAGCTCTCTAATTGGTTGTTCGTTTTGCCGAAGACGCCGTTGCCATAGCAACAGCACCGGAAGTCATCGTTTCTCCGTAAGAGGCCGTAACTTTCCTCCTCTCACTTAAGAACGCGTTTGTGAATACCGTTCTCGCCTCATCTTACGATGATCGTAACTTTACGAACTTCGTAGCTAAGTTGTCGTAGGTAAGAGGTTTTTTTATCAATCTGGCCTCAGTACTAAAAAATAAATCATTTCATACAATCTTGGCAAGAAAGCGTTGTGCATAGCGATGTTTGTTTTATCAATTTTCGCATTTTGTCAAATGGTCCCAAAACAGGGCGAAGAAGGACCGTCGGTAGTGAAGCCTTTATTGATGCATAGGAAAGTGTCCAACCTGTGACGGGACCTTCTCATTATCTCGGCAACCTATAGTCACCGATAAACAAGCGCGTTCCGAAATGTCGGTACTGAGACAACCGCTCACCAGAACCCCCTGCACAAAATCATTCTGCAATGAGATCTCCGGCACGATAACATCCGGTTCCTTTCGTTTCTTCAGGAAGGAGCATTTTTGTTCTTTGCACGGTAGAATGTGATCTGAAATCCGCGCGGTCCGGATTCAAAAACTTGGAGGACGCTTAAGCCTCGCCTTGAAAAGTGGAACGCGAAAGCGTTATCGGGCACCGTTTGCATCGCCTTCTCTTTCGCCTTGCAAGCGTGCCTTGCCTGGCCTAGTAAGTAGCGTACGTGTGTCTTGCTACCGAAGGATCGTTGGTTCGAATCCCGTCTGAAATTATTGAAATTTTTTCGTTATAAAGTGAAACCATATCAGACATGCGGCGACGTTTCATTTGCATTAGATGTGATGTTTTCTAATAACTCTGATTCCACGCGTGGCGTCACGTTTCACGTGAGCGTTGTGGGTTGTTTGAAATTCCCGCGCGAGTTCATGTGACTTTGACGTCATAATCATATCGACCAAACAGAATTTTCTAGCCACGACGCCACCTTCTCTGCAACAGGAGCTCCTTAACACTATCGCGCAAAAAATATTTGCAGAGACGGCTTTTCAAAGTAATGGCCTCAAATACATACTTTTAAGCAATCAAACTTTGGGCGTACAATGACTTTGCAGAACAAGCTACCCTGTGATTACAATGCAATAGATGCAAAGGCGCGAGCGAGCTGGACAAGAATGACAATAATAACTCATAAAGAAGAAGAACAAAGGAGACAAAGGGAAAAAACAAATCTCCAAACACAGCTAGGTGACTGCTGCGCCAGGGACCTCACCAGGGACCTCCCCATTTCCAGTGAAGTGCTCTGCCAACTGAGCTAACAAGGAGTTAGACGTCAGCAGAGCAAACGGTTCGTATCAGGAGCCACCAGTCTAACACCAACAAGGACGATCGCCCTGCATTTTGTGGTTCTCCTTGGGGCCACTGCCTTTGGGAGTGCCACTTTCGCGGCGAGACGCTCTACCGCGAAGCGGGTTCGTACTCAAGTGGCATGCTGCTCGTTGTGCGCAAACAGACACCAGTCACGTTGGTCACGGTGATAAACTCTGTTTATTTACAATGAAACAAATAACAAGAAAACAGCAGCTATAAGCTGGTAAACGCCGTCGGTGTGGAGATGGCCCACGGCCGAAAGGTCGTTCACAAAGGTACAAAAGACGGTGTAAACGCTCACCGGTGCGCCGGACGGTTCCCCGGTGTCTCCGCCGCCGAATCCCAGGAGGAAGAGAGACCGAGATCCTGCTGTCCGCTGGGTTTATAATAACCGCGGGGGCGAAGGGGCCAATCAAGGAGCGACACGTCGTTCTCCTTTCTGTGGGGGTTCGTTACGAAAATCGCCCCAAGCGGGGAGAGGAGGAAGCCACTCACAGTCGTAAGCAGCGCCACCTCTCGCTACGCCAGCGCGGCCGCCACGGCGTGCCGAAACGCTGACGCGACAGAATGTTGAGGGATCAACTTCCCCAGAATTTTAAGGCTGTGATTTTATTGCAAAAAAAAAAATGGAAAGGGGCAAGCGAGGTGGACAACAATAGAAATAATCATGATGTTTACAATGATTCCTACCTGCCTTTCCTGCCTTTTTAATTTTTTTTTAAATATTTGTTTTTAGTGCGATGTCGTTTTGACCTGGCATAGTCGTTGTGCTGTACTGTGTATACGGTGAGCAAGTGTTCCAAAAGTCGTCTTTGGCGCATCTAAAGGCAAGGATGGCGGACGTGAACTTCAATCAAAGGGCAACATAATAAACGCGCAATGAACCCGCAGGAACTTGGCAGCCGACCTCGCGTGGCCATTGGTTGATGTCAGGGAAAACAGACGCACCTGGGCGCATTTCGGGGGTAAACAAATGCACCAGGTGCACGAGGAGTAGACGCACTCGCATGCTGTTTTGTTTCGGCATTATTATATCGCCAGGGCCGAAGCATTACAGAATTGGTGAGAGTCGGGATCAAACACGGGCACAAAATGATCAATTCGGTTTAACAAATTATTATTCACACGTTATTGCTTCTCTAAATCTTGAAATAGCATTGATGGTATTACTGCACGGAGAAATGCGGCTTCATTCAGAGGTTTGAGGTAAGAAGGAAGTGTAAAACGAGTTAGTTTTGCATGTTTGTACGTCTACACTCTAAGAAAAAATGGAGGAAAAGGGTAGCAACGGCGCGTCTTTCACCCTTCTACTGACGCGTTTCCAAGCGGACACGAGAAGAAGGGAGGAACGAGACGTTTTCTTTCTTCTCCAGGCAGACGGGAGAAAGTTTTCACCCTCCCGACTCATCTTCTTTCGGTTTTCGTTTTTCGAGCACGTCGTGCACGTTGTTAAATAAATGTTGTTGAGTTGATTGAGCTTCAGCGGCAGCGAAGGCCGCCTGTAATTCCGTCTTGTAGTCTAAACGTGCAGAACATTTCGGTTGCCTTGACGCTTTTACCACTAATTTTATCCAACGAGTAAACGAAATCGCTAGAAACAGCGAAGTTCCGGAGCAGTGCCAGCAGCGCTACGTACACTGGGTAAGATGGCCGTCTCTGGACGGCGGGACCCACGCGGAACTACAGTGCTACAGTAGCGAAACCACGCTGAACTGTGTCGACGTTTTTGACGTTTTGGAAATCGCAGGAACTGCGTCCAAGACAGGCAGGTTTTCCTTCCGGCTGCCTGGGTGCCTTCCGTGCCGAGTTCGGTTCTGTTTTTCGTGCCGAGTGCCAACCGGCGTTCAACGTGGTTCTGTATTTCTGCGTGTCAGCAACATAGCAGCAACATCGTGATGGCAGTTTTATGCGTTGTGAACAGAAGACTGGAAATATCGCCGATGTGACCGTGTGTTCGCGTATCAGTGGTGTAACAACAAAACGAGATGACGTAAACTGTCGGGCATTGATGCCGCTGGTCCAGCCGTGATCGGAGGGGGCGGGGTGTCGCAGGTTGACATTCCGCTTTACATTAAAGAGTTTAAGACCACTTAAGAAATTAGGTGCAGTCGA